GGACTAATTGCATTTAGAAATGCTTCCCTTTGGTCGGACGATGCTGAAGGTTTTACTTTCCTCTGCATAATAACTTCAATGCATCTGTTGATTTTGTTGTTGCTGTTCTTGTTTCCAGCCAAGTTTTCTTTTTCATACTTTTGCCCAATTGGTTTCCAATGTCTTAAGTGAATAACAATGCTTACACAAATGGGTAATTGCTCAAAAGGAGGAGCAGGAGCAGAGAAGAGATTCTTCAAGGACACAGAGATATCTGTAAATTATTTGAAAACACACACATCAGGGTTGCCATGCATTCAGGATCTAACCAGCAAAAATAGCATCTGAGGGGAATTTTGGGAAATCGGCAAAATGTCTGAGATTTTGAGGTTGATTGCCTAATAAAAGCTCAACAACTTTGTTTTTCAACAACAGCAGTATCTCTTAGAGTGGTGAATGGCACTTTAGCAGGAAGAAAGTCTAATGATAATCCTTGTTATTACATATTTTACATGACTGTTTTGTATATATTTTATTCTTTTATATATGGAAGTTTCATGCTGGCCTTATTTTGTAATGCCTAATAAAGGTTTGGTGAAGTAAAAGTAAGAACTTTGTTTTTCCTGAAAACAACTTTGAGTTTGCTTTCACCAAAAAAAGCTCAAAAATTTTTGTGTCCTGAATTTTACTTCTAGAAATATGGCAACCCTAACACAGAGACACAGACACACACGCACACCATACAAATTTAAATTGAGGACTGCAGATAAGGATCATTCAGGAGGATGGAAGGGACTCAGGGGATCGAGTCTTCAAAACGCAATGACAAGTCCAAAAATAAACAGAAGAAACTTCATTTTTTTTAAAAAAGATATTTATTAAAGTTTCAAAAAAGGTTACATAGATAAGAATAAAAAAAAGAGAAAAGAAAGATACAAAAAAAAAAAACAATTAAAAACAAATCCATCTTTTCATCACTTATCTTTCATTTACTTGTTTCCCGGACCTCCTCATGCCTCCCTTTTTTGTATTCCAGTTCAATTTATTAGTTCAGCAATTCCTTTCCCTCCTTATTTTATCCTGATCTTTAATCTTAATATATCATAGCATTGAGTTTTTACGTATTGAAAATCCAATTTTTCCATATTCTTTTATACCATTACAGCTAGAAACCACTTAACTTCAATCCAACATCATTCTAACATTCATTAATTTTACAATATTTCTGTAAATAGTCTTTAAATTTCTTCCAATCTTCTTCCACCGACTCTTCTCCCTGGTCTCGGATTCTGCCAGTCATTCCCGCCAATTCCATGTAGTCCATCATTTTCATCTGCCATTCTTCCAGTGTGGGTAGGTCTTGTGTCTTCCAATGCTTTGCAATAAGTATTCTTGCTGCTGTTGTAGCATACATAAAGAAAGTTCTATCCTTCTTTAACACCGATTGGCCGACTATGCCCAGGAGGAAGGCCTCTGGTTTCTTCATAAACAGAAGAAAGTTCAAGAGACTTCCATGTTTTCAGCGAGTAAGGACAATGGAGCCAAGCTTGAGTAACAATTAGTTTGTGTAGTCTGTTCTAGAGTTCAGGCCAGGACATCAGAAAATTGCGCAAGGTTGCTTAGAAAATGATAGCTATGGGCTGGCTCAAACATTTCCTGTTCTCACAATGATGAGGAGAAATGATTTTCTGAGAATCAGTTCCGATGATATGTCAAAGCTGATTTGTTTTTGGTTTCACAGAAACGGGAACTGCTTTCACTCATGAGTCTGTGCAACTCTCATCTTCCACTGCTCACAGCTTGTGACCACTTTCCCCAGCAGAAGTCAGCAGTGCCATACCCTCCAAGTGTCCCAATTTTCCAGGGACAGTTCTGGAATTATGAATGCCACCCCAGCTCCTGATTTGATCCTGGAATGTCCCTGTTTCCCCCACCAGTGCTGCCGCTGCTGAACGGACAGAGAAGAATGAGCCGTTGCTTGTCCTGAACAGCAAGAGTAGCAGTGAAGGAGCATCCCGTTGCCTCTCCATGGTTGCTGCTACAAGCTTCCACCTTCAGGCAGCTCAGAGTGGCTGCTAGAGAGTGGGTGAAGAGGAAGAGAGGCTGCCACTGCTGTGGCCCAGACCTGCATGGTGCCCTGCCTCTGAGGGGCAGGCAGAGGGCAGGGCCACCCAGGACAGGAAGAAAGGCAAAGTGAAGTAGAGGGCAAGGATCTTTGATTAAAATAAAGAATCAAATCCAATCATAATTAAGGGGGTTTTCTCAGGCTGGTTTTATGTGTGTTCTGTCCAACTGGTGTAGTAGTCAGTTCCAGATTTATGTATCAGCTAAGCAAGCTATAGCTTAGGGCCCCACTCTCTTGAGGCCCCCCAAAAATGTAAAGGGGGAAAAACTGGATGTACCTTTCCAAAATATAAGATAAAAAACAAATAAAACAAAAAATACAATTATTATTTCATGTTATAGCAAGTTTCTATAGACTAGATTATGAGTCTTTGCTAATTGTGCTTCTAAAGGAACTTTTGTTATCACCAAATGCCAATGTGTTTGCATTATTAAGTTTGTTATGAATAAAAAATCATTTCAAGTTAGAGCTTAATAATTACTTTACTATTAATATACTTCTTCTTAATTATATTTTGCTATTAATATACTTCTTCTTGATTGTATTTCAGTTCAACAATTACTTTGATAAAATACATATTTTGTTATGTGCAAATGGCTTTAGATACCTATTAGGTCCATAAATTACCATATAGCATATATTCAACACAAAAAACAGTGACAATTTGTTGTTGACAAAGGACAGCTGGACATATAAAGGGCCCCATTACCTTCAGTAGCTTAGGGCCTCATCAAACCTAAATCCGGCCCTGGGTGTAGTGATAGTAGCACTCACCCCAGGAAATGATCGGGACACACACACACACACACACACACACACACACACAAAGGGGCATCAAATGGTCAGTTGTGGGCAGTGCCTTTTTCAAGGGTACCCGAGGGTTTGCAGTACTGGAACCTATTTTTGTTGCTGTTAGAAGGTGTGGCACTTACTATAACAACTTCATGGTGAGTAATGGCACCTCTTTTTTTAAAAAAAAAACACCACTGGTTGTAGGGGAGTGGGAAATGCCCCTATTTTCATCTGTGGAATGTTGGACAGGTTGTAGTGCTTGAATTAGGAGGGGCTTCCCTCCTAGCTTTGGTGATGACCTCTTAGTCTCTATTTCTGGAGAATTATGGAGGTCCATAATTTGGCTAAAATAGGGTGGGGGGGCAGGTCAGGCTTTGCAGTTTGTGGATTTCATAAAGCTCTCCCTTTGTGATTCAAGCTGCAATATGTCCCCAGCACATTGTCAGAACATACTTTGCATCAGCATATCAGTGGCGGAAAAAGAGGAGGAAATAGCTTGTGAGAAAATAAATAGTCATTAAGATGATTTTCCTAAGAAAATCTCTGTCTGATTAATTCCACATATTTCTGTATTGCTTTCAAATTATTTATAAAACAATAAATCAAGAAAGCCTGTCTGCAGTGGCGTCCTGACACCCCGAATAAACAGAGCACTGGGCATTTTAGCAATACACTTGATTTACGCAATTTAAATTAATGTAATGATTAAAATGCTCACATTCTGAACCCCTTTACTACAACGTCTTCTGAGGAGGAAGTTACACCAAGTGGACTGGTTCTTATTTCCAGGTATGTGGGTATACAAGCATAGCCTTAGTAGGTTTAACTTTTCAAATCCCTTTTTGAGGGGAAGGAATGAAATGCTGCCGTTGGGTTTGCAAACTTCAGAAAGATAAATGATAAGTCTGGAGTACTTACATATTTTCTTGTCTATTGCTGTGGTGTAAGTCCCCACATTTTATTATTGTTGGTTTTGATTTTCTAACCTTTTAATAATTCTTTGTCATGGAAAATCTAATAACTTAAATAAACATTTGTTTAAAAAGGATAAATATTGGAAGTGGCCACAAAATAGTATGATTATTACATAGCTATTTAGAGAATTATTTAAAACGCATACTTGACTAACTAGGCTGTTTTGGAGGAGGGTCATGAACTACATACTTTACATAGATGATTCAGAAAGTAAAGGAGATTGTGGGGTGGAATTAAAGATGTTTCTGGTTTACTTTCATCTTTAATGAATACCTGCCTACAACCGTAACAAAGTAAGCAATGAATCATAGATGGAGAGGTTCATGCAATTTTTTTTTTAAAAAAATAAAAAATTCCCCAAAGAGCTAGTAAATATTGAGAGAGGGTGTGAAGCTCTCCACTTCCTCCTGGAACCATGGTACAGTTCTGCGGTGAGTCTGATGTCTGGAGCTTAGCTGAATAGACCTTAGGTACCAATCATCTTGTTGAAAACAATGAGGGTTTATCCGCTGTCTCTTCTTAAGGTCAATATTAGGCTACGGAAATCCTAGCAATATCAGACCAAGTAAGCACGAGCAGATGGATCTCTTTCCAGTTGGTGTGACTTTTGCATGTAGCAATTCATTTAAAAATGTTGTGGGGTTTTTGTTTACTTTCTGCATTTTAATAGATTTGTTTTTAAATTGTTTTCATTATTTTATAGTTTAATTACTTTTTAACTATTATATTTTATATGTTTTTAGCTTTCTGTGTTTTGTTCATGTTGTTTTAATTTTGTAAGCTGCTTGAGTCCCAGTTCTCAGTAAAAGGCAAGATATAAACAACAACAACAAGTTCATAAATCCATTCTATTTTGTGTTAATCCAAATTTTTAAAAGCATTAGAATCTACATGAAAAGTACATTTAAAAATGCATTTTGAGGACATTTTTTTTCACACAAAGTGCATTTCTAAATGTATTTATTATCTTAAAACATGCATTTTAAAAATGCATTTAGGTATGTTCTTTGAGCCAAGAATTGCCTTACGGAATTCAGAATGAGAATTACATTCCGACCCACACATTTCCCACGATGATTCTGTTGTAGCACCATCCCAGTACATTGTAAGTGTGAGTGGTCAGATGAGGCTGTCATCGACCTCTGAGCTGCACCACAGCTGGCTCTACTGGATGTAAACATGAGTGGGCCAGAAGCAGGACAGTGTAGGGCTGTCTAGCTTCCTCACCATTACTAAGTCAGCCTGCAGGAAAAGAAGAAAGCAATAATTCTGAGTGGAGTGGCAGAGGGGCTGCCCATAAGCAGGGGGAGCAGCAGGCTGGACAGCTCCCCAACTGAAAACCAAGAATTGTAAGGAGGGTGCAATATTGGGTGGAACAAGGAGGATCTAGGTTGTTAGCACCCAATGGTGAGCCAATAGTGGACAGAGTCAAGGTGGAGATTGAGGTGGTTAGAGGGGACATAGGGAAAACATCAGGAGACCTATAATCTTGAGAGAATTAAGCTTTATATTGCCAGGAGAGTCTGTATGATGAGATTGGTCCTGACGTCTGGATGAAGAGGCAAGGACCCTCCAGCCTTACTCTGAGATAAAGGTGTGGATTGAGACTCTGGGGGCTTTCTATTTATTGGTAGGTCCCTACTCCCCCTTTACTCTGGGACTAATGATGGCACAACAAGTCTGCTGTGTTGTTCAAGGGAAGATTAATGTCCCAGTGGACCACTGCTGCCAGATGCACACATATTTTGCATTCATTCCTCCTGCTGTGAACTGTCAAAAGGGTTTGGAAATCTTCAACTGGATATGATTTTGGCTACTCACTCCAAGTACTCAAGTTGTGACATTTTGCAGGTCGTCTCCGGTTCTAAGGCACCCCAATAAAGAGCCATGGAAAAGAACAGAGAGTTCAGTTCCGAATGCAAGAACGTGATCTTTCTGGGGCTCTAGTGGAAACATATGAGCAACACCTGGATATATCATGTGAAGGCTAGGATGCAAGTCTAATGAAGTCATCTCATCATTGGAACAATGCGAAATAAAAATTATGGGGAAAGTAGCAGTAGAGGAAAGTATTTGGAGTTCTACTGAGCCCTCTTCAGCCTCTCTAAATTTCTTTGGCTATGCAAAAAAGGGAAAGGAGCAAAGGTCAAAAATAATGGTCTGCTCTACACATGAAGTTACACAAGACAAAACAAGTTACCTTAGTAGGCAACTTCATCATGAAGAACTGAGACAAGTCCTTATTAACTAGTGGTAGTTATGTTAGGCAGCTGGGATCATGCTTCCTCTTTCTTGGCAATATGCAAAACTCCACTCCTCAGCCTTTTACAACTCCCATCTCCCTTCCCATCTCCCTCCATCTCCCTCCCATCTCCCTTCCTATCTCCTACCCATCTCTCTCCCATTTCCCTTCCCAAATCTTCTTCACTGCTTGATTTGCTCTCTTCCCTTCCCCAAAGACAAATGACCCACAGATCATCTTCAAATCCTCTTCCTTATTAAATTTGGTCCTGGATATCGTCTTCTCCTTCTCCTTCTCCCCCTTCCCTGTTATTATCACCCAACATTTTCTGATAATCTCTGATTAGATGACTGCAGGCAGCACCTCTGTTCACCTTGCTGTTTACAATTTCACCTCTCTATCCCCAACTGTGTATGTACTGTATATAATCTGCCTACTGAGAATAGCACATTGTGTAACTCAATCTGTGGGCTCTAGTCCACAGGAGCTTGTGACAGAATAAATATGTTTATCATAGCATTGTGTGCCTTGTGCAATTTACAATATTTAAATATTTGTAAAAGTAATGTTTAGCATGCTGATACAACATCCGAAATGAGAATATTAGACCAGGGACAGGAGAAATGTCTCTGGATTCATCTCTAATTGCATATAAGTAGGCACACATAGCAACTAGTGAGCTCCATATGGGAATGCACACATCTCATCTGTATCTAAATATGTATCTAGCCAGTTCACCATGGATTAGATAAACCCCATAATGACATGCAGATGTGAATGTTCAGCCTGTTGCAAATCTACAACTTCCCTTGCTGGCTGTGAGTGCTGCAATAGATTGTGTGTGTGTGTGTGTGTGTGTGTGTGTGTGTTCTTTTTAATCCAAATAAAAGTAATGTGATGGAGCCACCATTGTTTATGGTATGCATATGATTTTTGTTTTTATTGTTTCTACCCACTATTATCCCTGTTCAAACATTCTAATTATATATTTTTGTAGTGTTTCCAAAAGGTGAAAAACTTGTCTGACCAGGGATGATAGTGGGACCAAAAAATGAAAATGTGCTCCATTATGAAATGGAACAATTTGTTCAACACTCTTTGTTTTATTTCACTTTTAAAGAATAATCCTAGAAGTTGATCACAGAAGCAGGGCAGACTATTGCAGGGTAAATGAATGCAACATCCATCAAATGGAGAAGAACCTTCAGTGGTGTGTAATGGGGTGCATGTGCATTAGGTCAGAGCATGCATGCTCAGGCAGGGCTCTTTGGTGTGAGAACCAGCGTTAGATAATAGTACACACAAGATGCTTTTCCTGTCATCTGTTAAGTGTTGGAGTCAGGGTGTGCTTCTGTATAACACTGCTTCATTGCTGTTGCCATCATGGCCTGATGCTCATTCAAATTGCACACATGGGCATGGGATTTGTCTACACTGATATGTGCATCAGCTTTGCTTGCATGAATTGCAAGTGCCTATCAGCTCTGGATGAATGATCCAGGAATCTCCACTTGCACAGTGAGAGCCTCTGTAGGAGTGAGAGTCTATAGAAGAGAACAAACAAAAGCAGGAAGGTCAACAGCGGGGATCCTCAGCATCTCCACAGGGTTATGATTTGAACATGTGAAAAGGGTTTCACATGGGATGCGGGTGGCGCTGTGGGTAAAACCTCAGTGCCTAGGACCTGCCGATCGTATGGTCGGCGGTTCGAATCCCCGCGGCGGGGTGAGCGCCCGTCTTTCGGTCCCAGCTCCTGCCCACCTAGCAGTTCAAAAGCACCCTTCAGTGCAAGTAGATAAATAGGGACCGCTTTATAGCGGGAAGGTAAACGGCGTTTCCATGTGCTGCGCTGGTGCTGGCTCGCCAGAGCAGCTTCGTCATGCTGGCCACGTGACCCAGAAGTGTCTCTGGACAGCACTGGCCCCCGGCCTCTTAAGTGAGATGGGCGCACAACCCTAGAGTTGGACACGACTGGCCCGTACGGGCAGGGGTACCTTTACCTTTACCTTTATGCTGTGGCAGACAGCATGCTGAACAGTTTGGGAAGATCTGGATTAGATTCTCCACATGGCCCTGACACTCATTGTGTGACTGTGGACCAGTCACCCTTCTTCAGCTAATCTTACCTCACAGGGTTATTGTAAGGATAAAACTGGGATAGGACCAAGGTATACTGACCCTAGCAACTTGGAAGAAAAGTGATAATAAATGATAAATACATACAGTGGTACCTTGGAAGTCGAGCAGAATCCATTCCGTAAGTCTGTTCAACTTCCAAAACATTCGGAAATCAAAGTGCGGCTTCTGATTGGCTGCAGGAAGCTCCTGCAGCCAATCGGAAGCCACAGAAGCCCCGTTGGATGTTTGGGTTCCAAAGAACGTTTGCAAACTGGAACACTCAGTTCTGGGTTTGTGGAGTTTGGGAGCCAAAATGTCTGAGTACCAAGGCGTTCGGGATCCAAGGTATGACTGCATTGCCAAATTAATTGCCAGCTTTTAGTTGTACCTAGCTGTGTGCTACTTATTGGTGGGGCTCTGCTGTGGCTTTCCACTTCTTAGTCACATACAGCCAACACAGAAATGAGCTGTGGGCCTTCCAGCTTGTAATGTATTTCTGGCGGGCCCCTTCAGTGCTGAGTAGGCTGCCCGTGCCTGTTTCACAGTATGCATTTCATACTTGATATGATACAAAACTCCATCTGTTGCATAATCTGGGCCTGTCTGTAGGGCAGACACAGCCCAGCTCTCTCACACATTCTTGAAAGGGGCTTGTTCAGATCTGGATCTCATCCAGAATCTGCACTTTGTCTGCTTCTCTCCCCCCACCCCAAGTTATTTTATGAACTAGCAAAAGTAGCAAAAGAAACAGCATTATCAGCAACAACAACAAAAACACAATGGAAACATAAGCACGAGGGAAATGAAATGTAACTACTGGAGTCAGACATAACCGTCTAGAAATGCCTTCCCATGAGAGATGGGGCAAAATCCAGCAGTGTGAAGTGCTGAGACGGAAGGGTCTTGCAGGTGTGCTGCTTAATGGGGTGCTAATTGAAGAAGCACAACCAGGAAGTACAGCAGGTCCGTCTGGGCGATGGTAGTGTGAATTCTGGACTCAACAAACAGTTCCAACAGCTGATATTCTTCTCCTAGTGTAAATACAGAGAAATCGGTGGGGAGGCATTCTAAATCTTCTCTCTGTAACTGCTCCAAAGACCTGTCTAAAATCAATAGAACTGCAAGAGCAGATAATCCTACCGACCACAAATGTGTCCAAGCTGCAACTTTCAAACTTATTGTCAGGAAATGGCAACACGGACCCAGCACTTTAGGTTGCCCCTGTAATTTATGTGGAGTTATTCCTGTTTATAACATGCATTAGAAATGCTTGCTTGTTGTTCAAAATAAACAGTAATATTGAGGGCTGAGCAAAAATGACCCCTCCAAGTTTTTGAAGCAGTAAATCTGGGAGAGCCACTTCATTGAATATTATTCCATGGGTTGGTTGGAATTATCCAACAGTATGTGGACAGGGACTAGCATTCTTTTTTTTTAAAAAAAATATTCCAATAAATGTTGGTTCAGGTGACACTGAAGAAAACTAATTTTTAATTCCTATTGATGGATTGAGGAGCAGTGGGCTAAGAGAGAACTGGAAGAAGAAGGGGCCAAGGCAACTGATTCCTCTAAACTAATATCATACAATATTAATTTTCTAATATTATCATATAAAGGGTGGTATGCAGTGAAGGTCTTACCTCAGTGTGAGGGTTTCTGTTCACACCGTGGAATTTCTCCTCCCTCTCTCCCCAAGCATCCTTAACTGCCTTCCCAAACCTGCTCTCCAGGATTTCGGGAAAACCCAGATATAGAGGGTGCATGGGGAGAGGGGAAGCTACATTGCACAGCCAGAAATCTTTGCACTAATAAACTACTTTGTTGGATCTGTGTGTATGTGTGTCTCTTCTATTTTGATGTGGGAATATGAGAAACTGTGAAGTTTGTTTACATATGTTCTCATACCAGTCCTGCCGGCAACATTTTTCATGAGACAGTTTAAAATTGTAGGTGCAGAGGGACAGGGGAAAAGGTAATCTTACCTTTGTAAAAGACTGGAGCATACAGCTGCAAGTATAGATCCAGAAATAGGGAAGTCCAGTTTTCTGCTATTGTGCAATGAAAATGAAGTCTATTGCTATGATTAATTATTTTGATTATTTATTTTCTATATTACAAATATCCAAGCTGTATACAAAAAACTAAAGCAACAACAGATAACTTAAACACAATATTGCAAGAATACAGTTACATATAAAAATGCAACAAAGTTAGTAATATAAATCAATCAAGATCAATTCATTTTCCTTCTGACTCGCCCTCCCTCTCAGCCTCTGAGTTCTCACCCTGAGTACAAGTAAACTCAGCTCGCCCACAAAAATATCACTGCAAGAAGAGTTCCGAGAAACAGTGGCCATCACCCTAGTCTTCTCACACTAAACTTGCTTTTATAGGCAGGCGCAAGGTGAATGGTACTTCCTCAGGCTGCCCACAGCTGTGTCCCATTCAGCTGCACTCTCCACATGCAGTTCCAGGTGCAGCAGGTTTTTGAGTTTTTCAGGGGGTCCAGAGGATGCAAAAACACGTCCTCCTCCACTCACAGCTCTCTCTTCACCCTCTGTCCTCTCCTTCACCTTCAGCTGCTTTGCAAATATCTTCAATTTGCTTGACCTTAGTGGTGAAAGTTGCTCAAGTTTCTTGCAGAAGGAGAGCCAGCCTTGCCACGTGGCAGAGAGTGAAGAAAACATTAAAGAGCAAGTGTCTTAAGACCATCTCATTGCTACAGAGTGTGTCTGAATATATGAAATGCAGATTAGGAGGCAATAGGAGTTTAGCCCCTGGCATCTTCAATACAAAGGATCAGGTGGTTAGAAACAAAGACTCTGCCCTGAAGAGCCATTGACCATTTGAGGAGACAATATTGGGCTGGATGGAGAAATAGCTTGATCTGGTACAAGGCAGCTTCATAGGTTCCTAACCAAATGGATCCAAGAGTTTGGTGTTTACCAACCAGTGGTAATTTCCCCCTATTTAAATATTCACCCAACTTCCAATTTCTGTAAAAGTTTCTGCAATCAGTATCATGACACCCCTTCACTCATTAGATCATTGCTTTTTTTCTAAATTTTCCTTCACTGGATAGCAGCACAACCCCAATACTATTCTTTTCAAGAGCAACTTTTCCTTTTCCTTTTAAAAAAGAAGTAATAAAGTTTTTTGGGTGGGTGGGGGAATCTTGACGGCCTTCTTTCATCTAAATCTAATTCCCCACCATCATCACCATTATTTCTTTCTGTTATTGCAAAAGGACAATTTCTTGGCAGGAAACCGGAAATACCTGGACAAGATACTGGCTGTCAGGCCCTTTGAAAGGCAAGACACAACATTCACCTATCTTTACAATCCCAGGAGAGATGTGGGCAATGCG